TTTTGTCCGTCTAGTTTTTTTTAGGTATGGCTAATTCACATTAATTTCTATAATTTAGGGTATATTTTCACTCTATTAAAGAATAATATGATTTATTAATAAATCATTAATATAAGATAGATGGGGGATAACGGCGTCCATTTCCTGCGAAAAAGCACACCGAAGGTGCTGAAATTAAAAACGCAAAAGAAAAAAATGTTAAATACTAATTTGGATCCCTAAACTTTAAACTTTGCACTTTTTGGTCCTTGCACTAATTTAGTCCTTCAGCTGATAATAAAAATAATTTATATTAAGTGACGAAAAGTTAAAGTGCTTAAATTAGTTGAGAGAATGACACTACTTTTTGTGCACATCCAAGAGGTAAGAGATAAAAAAATTATTAAATTAGCTCTAAGACAAAAAAAAAAAGTTCAAAATTTAAAGTTTAAATACGAAAATTAATATTTAACCAAAATATGAATGCAAACTCCAATCCATTTATGAGCGCACTAACATCCTTAATATAAATACAAACTTCACTTTAAAGGGCTATATAGGTCAAACAATTATATATTTTTTTAAACCATGAGTTAATTAATTGCTTGATGTTATAAGAATGTAAACTATCAATCTTGATCTAAAATTAAAATTTTTAAATTGATAAGTATCAACTTTATTAAGTTGTTGTTGATAGAGAAACAATTATTGTATATTTAAAATCTAAGAATTTGGCATCAACTAAGAAGCCAAAGTTTGACCATATACCTTAGGGCTACAGCATACACCATCTTTGTTTATCATCTCATATAGAACACAATCTTCATCTTTTCCTCAAATAAGATAGCCCACGCCTTTTTGTTAGACAATTTACAACTCGTAACTTCCCCACTAACCATATGTATATAGTTTGAATCTCCAGAAGAAACTAAACAGAAGGAATAGAATCAGCCAACAACTTCAGCCAATGGACATCTATTTATGGGTAATTGTCTATAATCCCCTCTTCTTTCTTAGGGCGTTTTATAAGGTTTAGTCCTCATTTATTTTTATTTGGCTTTAACTT